AAACAAGGGTTGAAAAAAGAGGGTGGTAATGGGAGGAGGAAACATCAACAATTTATAAATATGCACTCAGCACTATACTACTGACAGAAAATAACAAAAACTTAGAGTGATTACTTTATCAGGACACCTTTAAATTAGAGAAATATTTTAGCAAACCTTCTTATGAGAGCTGACCATTTAGCAGAGGTGCAATCTCGACAAATATCAGCAAATACAACAGGGCCTGCTTCCTTTGCACTATTTTATTGGAGCATACAATAGAGGAGAGCATCCCTAATTAATCTCTTGGAAAGCTTGATTGCAAAAGCAAGCTATGGCATTTATACTGATGCTTACAAGTCCTCATCTTATTACGAGCATTGCTAAGTACTCATATTTTTTCATTACTCCTTATTTTCTGAGGAATGGCAAGGGAAGTCTTCTGAATCATCTTGATTGCTCTTATATTTCATCAAGCTGCATCTCTGGTCTTATAGTTTCTATCAGATCTTTTCCATATTTTTGTTTATGTATATATACTTCAATTATGAGTATGAGAGCAGTTTAACAAGATTGCATCATTCATGGTTGATTTCAGAACAACCCAAACTAGAAAGAATCACAAAGGTACATCAGATGTTTTCTTTCTGTTCATGCACTGCTGTACCTTATTGTTTATCACCTTTACTGGGGAAAAAATCTCATGAATGTCATTGCTTTATTTTTAAAATGGAATGTGCAACGTATTTCAGCATTTGTCAACAGAGTCCTCAAGAACAGTGCCCTCACTGAACTAAATAGAGAACTTCCAAGATGGGGGTCTTTGACATGGGAAAATGCATTGTAAGGAAAAATAGATCTGAAATCCATTCTCCCCTTTTTAGGACAAACTACTAGATGCAGATATGATAACATGCACTACTTTGCTATCTAATTTTGGTACTGGAGTTCCTCGTCTACATTTTAGATTTAGATTGGGCAAGAATATTGGAAATTCAATGGTGTTGGCTTGTTTTTAATGAACAGCTCCAGATTGGGTTGATGAACGCATTAAATTAGTGGGAAGCTCCATAAATTCAAATCGTGTCAGATGTGCATTACAAATATTCTCTTCCTCATACTGTCAAATGTTATTTGTTAGTGTTGACAGTTGCACGTCATGGACTGTTAGTTACCAACTGCAACTGCACGTCACCTGCCAAATGCAGACTGCTACACATATCAAGCATTGTCAAAGGAGACTGCTGCTGCAAAACAACCAATGTCAAAGGTCTCATGTTGGTTGTCAGCTATTCAAAAGATATTCAGAAGATATTCACCATCAATTTTTGCTGAGGATTTTGGAAGAGAATTCCATATCAATGGAGCTTAGGGGTTGGCAGACTCAGGAACAAGAAGCAAAATTCGAGCTCCATCCTCTCCTGTCACAGCCACCTCAAGAGTGCCAACCTTTTTTTTAAAAAAATAACTTTGATTTATTTTTATTTATTTGCCACAATTTTATCCCACCCTTTTCAGCCCGAAGGTGACTCAGGGCGGCGTACAGACTGGCACCAATTAATGCTGAACACACATAAATGGATTGTTTAAAACAGGTTAAATCACATAATACAATTCATATAAAAACAATTTAAAACTATAAAAATCAATGACTTCTGGGTTTAAATCCATGTCCATTTGCATCGTTAAGCCGTTACATATTCGTTCACAATACTGATTTTATCTGGTTACAATGAAGTTCCAAAAGGTTGCTCGAAGAGTCAGGTTTTTACTCTTTTCCTAAAGGTCAGGAGGGAGAGGGCTGATCTAATATCCCCAGGAAGGGAGTTCCACAGCCGAGGGGCCACCACTGAGAAGACCCTGTCCCTCGTCCCAGCCAAGCGCACCTGTGAGGCATGTGGGATCAAGAGCAGGACCTCCCCAGATGATCTTAAATTCCTGGAAAGTTCATAAGGGGAGACACGTTTAGATAGGTAAGTTGGGACGGAACCGTTTAGGGCTTTTGCAGCTGCTCTTCTGTGATGACATCACTTTTGCATGAACATGTGCATCTAAATGCGTAGTGGTTGATATACACTAAGTCCCATTGACATCCATGGGGTTTGCTTGTTTTGAAAAGTCATGTAGACAATTTATGTGATTTGTTCAAAATAACCACAAATGAAACCATGTTTGCCATGTGCTACGCAAAGCATATTGTGTAATACATGGCAAGCATTTTTTTAAAAATTCCAGAACAATAATATATACTTAAACATATATTTAAAGTATTAAGACTAATCTTCAACCCCTCTTCATCAAGAACAATCACTCAAAGCTCAGCTACTAATAAGAAAATCTCCATCCATGTTCAGCTTTACAGATATTTAATTGAAAGTCCCAGTACAGAGTAAATGAGCATAAAAGATGAAAATTAAAAGACCCCAGTAGTCTAGTTGCATGGAGAGGGATCATGACTCTTTGATGCAGAGCTGGAAAATTATTATATTTTTACATTTATTGACAATGACTTTTCTTTTTTGGAAGAAAGCCATTTTGACACTTTTAACAAAATTATCTTGACAACTCTGTTGTAGCAAGGGAGGAGGGAACCAAATGATAATTTCCCTCTGATTTATAAAACTACCAACTGGCAAAATATAATTTAGCAGTGCCTTGCATTTAACTCTGTCACATATTTTGCAGTGATTGTGGTACTACATTTTAATACCCTTTCCTGTAACAATGGTGAGTCTAGAGCTGTGAAAACTAGAATTTATTGAAACATATGCAGGATGTTCTGTTGTACAATACATATTCATTCAGTTTCTCAGCCACTGAACCTACCCTTTAAAGATGAAATCAACACAGAGTCAGGGTGGCAATCAATTTTATTGCAACATAAGTAATGTAAAATTTGTGCACCTAGTTCAAAGTTTCTGTCACTCAGATGTGTGCTTCTTTTTCACACTGAAACAAGAAGAGAGATAGAAAAGCTTTTTAAAAAAAAGAAGTTTCAGGAATAGCCCAAGAGAACGTCTGGAGAACCTACCCCCCCCCCCCACCCCCTCTAAGTTTTTCTTAGAAAAGTAAGAAAAACTTACATGGTGTTCATTAGAACCCTCGGCTGGCTCTCCCAACGCATAGAAATGATGCACCAGGAGAGCTGGGGGGCGGGGGAGTGAGTTGTGTGATAAGGTTCTTAGTTTTTGCTCCAGAAAAGTCAGTGCTGATTTAAACTACATCAATTATTAAAATAGGCATCTAGAAAAATATCATAAAGGAGAGTAGCCACATTAGGTTTATTGCTTTTCTTTTTATTTATTAATTTATAATTTATTAATAACACCTACAGACTGCATTTCTTCACTGAGTTTAAAGCAATTTGTGTGGATCTCCTTGCCCCACCTTATCTTTCCAACAACTCTGTCGAGTAAGTGCCCCACAATCATGTAGTGAGTTTCCAGGCTCAATGAAACCTAGTCTCAAAACATTTCTTTAATCGCATACAATACAAGGTCGGGTCATTACAATAGGGATGGACAATTTTACCACCTCCAGTGGCCAGGTCTTTCCACTTCATCCCAACCACACTCATGAGATAATACATATAATATATAATGTAGTAAACCACACGTCTGGGGGATGTTTTAATTGACTTTTTCATCAACAGAAGCAAGACTCATAGACACACACCTTGTTTGGAAACTCATTCTTTTAGCTCAGATATGCTGTAGTGTTAACTGCTGGACCCAGGCATGTAGCGGGGGGCGGGGCTTGGGGGGCTTCAGCCTCCCCCCCAAAAAAATCTCAGGGTGGTCTTACTGGTACATTATTTAAACTGTTATGTTTATTCATATCATGATCTGGTCACCATGCTCAATATATCCTATATGCATGGGGCTATTGGGATAACGATACAAAACATTTGCTAGGGTAGATCCTCAGCCCCCCCCCTTTGAATCAAACTCACCCCCCCCCCGAATCAAACTCAGCACCCCCCGAATCAAAATCCTGGCTACAGGCCTAGCTGGACAAATGAAGTTCAGAGATGCAGAAAGAAAAAAGACTGTTGGGGCACTTAAATAAGCAGGGAGCTACATGTGGCTTAGAGTGTGCATGTTGCTTACTTCCTGTAGTAAAGCCATTTTTTATTTTATGAAATAAAAAATATTAGGGGGAAGAGTAGCTGCTTCCCTCTTGATCCCTTGTGGAACCCCAATACAGAAATCCAAAAAACCTGTTTTCCTCTATAGTCAATCTCAAACTGGCCCCCAAAAGTCACAATGTGTCACTTTGTGCACCATTTTGCAAAGACCATAGTGGAAAAGCAGATATTTTGGACTAACAGAGGTCTTGGGGTGATGTGTAGATTTGTGGATATCATATATGTTTTCAAGCATTTGGAGGGGATTTTCTCTGTGCTTTTGAGGCAAAAATCACAATAAAATGCACACAATTTTAAAAACAAGTAGTAGGTAGAGATAAACTTCAGGAGCAGGCATAATCAGTCTTACTCTGGCCACTCCATTTAACCTTCTTTTATTCCTTTTATAATAATATTTCACAGTGCAATTTGATATCGAGCCTCTCCCTTGCTTGAAAGAAATAGCCCCCTTCTTTATTTAAATAAACTCTGAAATAATAACTTTGTAATAACTATCTATTCATACCCACATCTATTAACTCCCCATCTCCACCCCCGTTACGGTGGATATCATTTTGCTATGAGTCACCCGGGTTCATTTAACAGAGAGTCAACAGCAGCTGTCTTCATGTAGTCATAAAACACTGAGATAGTAATATTACGCAGGCCCTTTTGTTGAGCCAAGGCTGTTTGTCACATAACGCCCTGCCTTCTGGGAGTGACTAGGCAGCCGTCTGTTTGACAAGAGAAGGAAAAAGAAAAGAGACAGAGAAGTGGGATTGCCAATTCTGCAGTGCACAGTGACTATAAGAAACAGATGTGGACAAGTAACTAAAGCAGTGGGTATCAAAACATCTACTCAGCACTGTTAATGTTGTACCTGTGCTTCCTTTGTTTGAAACTCTTTGATCCTAAATTGTTTTCATTGTTCGTCACCAGTTGCATCTTTGTTTAATCTCACATTTTCATTTTTGTAGACTTCCAGTATTGATTCTAAGCTGCCAGTTCTACGACAAAAGGATTTTGAGGAATATAAATAGGCAAATATTTCTAAGTAATATTCCCTCAAAAACATGGTTTGTAAAACTTCAATGTACTTCTAATTTAAGACGCAGAGTTCTGTTGTAGCTTTACACTCATACAAAAGCTTAATTACTTCTTTTATTATTATATCGTTCCTTTTCCCCAAGTTCAGGATTCAAATTGGCTTACAATAGTTACAACAAACATAACTAAAAATTCACCTCACATACTATTTAAAAATGTAATTATACCATCAATACAATTAGTGAAAACATTATTAATGAGAAAACAACATCACATTATACAGAACCTATTCCTCTTGAGCAACCCATCTGCAAACAAAAGTCATCACCTACATTAGGAAACATACCAAAGAGAGCAATTCTCTAATTCTCTCTAGGAAGTGAGACGCTATGGAGAAAGCTACTTCTTAGAGAAAGGTCTCCAAACATAATCATAAGAAGTTTGTTTCTCAAAAAATTATTTATTTAATTAACTGTCTAATTACCATATTTGAGTATGATGAGCTACCAAATGTAATGCACATGTGAATTTTGAAGGTGTGTATTTTTAAAAAGGATTTGCTATTTAATGTAATGTGAGGCAGTAGTGGCCATAAAAAGGCTGGTGAGAAGCAGCGTCCCTCCATCAGACCTTCCCGCCAGCCTTTTTATGGCCACCATCAACTTCCCACCAGCCTTTTCATGGTCTCCCCCATCTCTATCCCCAGCTGAGATCTCTTGCCCAACAGCAATGGGTTTAGATGCATGATTCCAACACGTAATCTAATCTATTCTTTGCTATTGCTTTGTTTTTTGAGTTATTGTGTTGTTGTTGTTGTTGTTTTATTGTATTTGGGCTCGGCCTCTTGTAAGCCACACCGAGTCCTTCGGGAGATGGTAGCGGGGTACAAATAAAGGTTTATTATTATTATTATTATTATTATTATTATTATTATTATTATTATTATGTGCACCTCAATTTTAGCCCCACCCCTCAAAAAGGTGAGCCCTGGACTTGAGTAAATATGATAATGGTTGTCTAGCTTCAAGTCATTTCTGACTTTTGACGAACCTATCATTTCTGCTTTTTGATGAACCTATCATGGGCTTTACTGTGCCTAAGAGTGTATGACTTGGACAGTTTCACTCAATTTGGGTATCCATGGCTGAGTGAGAATTGAACCCTGGTTTCTAGAGCCATAGTCCAACACTAAAACCACAACAGCCATGTTGGCTGTCAAAATACCATTATCTTGTAGCTTTATAATGAAATCTCAGAGTGGTGTATAATTAGAATCTAGTTAAATGATTGAAAACAATGTATAATTTAAATGATTGAAAGTAATATATAATTTAAACCTGTGGGATTCTTTTAAACAGATCTTTTAAAAGTAGGCAACAATTTGACAAGTTAAAACCAGTTGAGAATCAAAATAGTGTACATGTGCATTTTAATGAACTAATGCAAGCTTAATGAATACGAATGCTATTGCTTGGTGGTGGAATGGATGTTCTTTCTTTGGAGGCCCAGCGGCAGCTATACTGAGTATTGATGCTTTTTTTGTTTCCAACATAGGACAACAACATAGGCCCCATCTACAGTTTGAAATTGCATTATATGAGTCTATTTTGACCACATAATGCAGTTCCAAATGTTGTAGTTTATGATTTTACACTATGCAAACAGGGGATAGGATTTTGACTTAACATTTGCAACCTACATAAATGTGCACTTAAAAATAATCCACACCAGATGCAATTTTGGATACTGGAGTGCAGAAATGTATTGAATGTATAGTTTGATATCTATGTTTAACATTCAAAACTAGCTACATAACTTCTTTTGATCCAAGAGCACAGAGAGTCTTTCAGCATGTTTCTGTTTACTTCATTTTCAAAGGATCCAAAGCAAACAATCCGCATAGAAGAAATACGTACCTGTATTAAAACAATATGAGTCATATAATGTTGTCATAAAGCTCATTGATGTTACCTGATGATTTGGGAGACACAACTGGGTTGTCTTCAGATAGCATTTTTTTTTTGTTTGCTTAGGATTGCTCTAAATGAAGAGATGATAAGAAGGAAGAAAAAGCAGAGAACAAATTGAGGTGGCCAACCAACAGTAAGTATCTAAATAAAGTTAGGCAACAAATGTTGAGGAAACAAATGCTGCCACTCCATGAAGAATTAGGTTCAAAAATTATTTCAAACATGGTTGAAAAACTAAGTTTTCAAGTGTCATGAAATATTGCTGGAAGGAATCCTACATGGGCGAAGCTCACTGCTGTTTGCAATGTGTTATGTGTCAAAAGGATTATTGGATGTATCAGTGCAAAAAAGTAGCTTCTTGTGCAGAAAAAAGCAACATTTCTGCAGGAAACTCCAAATAATCCCAAATCCTTTTTAAAAAGCTCTGAACTGCAAATAGTCTGCTACTTTCTTGCAACAAAGGTGAATATTATTATTATTATTATTATTATTATTATTACAGATGATGATGATGATGATGATGATGATGAATAGAATAATGCATCACACAGTCCTAGTGTTCGACTTGTGATCTTGTGATACGAAAACCAGCATATATATCTCGTTTGCTGTGACATACTGTGTTTTTGTGTCAATAATAATAATAGAAGAAAAGAATCATGCCCATTCCCATTTTGACTTGGACTCCATCTACACTGCCATATAATGCAGATTGAAAACCCATTATATGGTCAGGGTATACACATATTATGCAGTTAAACTGAATTATATGACCACACTGACCATATAATGCAGTTTCAAACTGTATTAAATGGCAGTGTAGATGGACCCTGACTAAATTGGGCTTGTCTACTTTTTCTCATTTTGGGGATTCAAGGCAATTTACAGATTATGAAAATCAGTACAGGTACATAACTGGGCATGTCTACGTAATCTCTCTCTCTCATACACACACACACACACACACAGAGAGAGAGAGAGAGAGAGAGAGAGAAGGGGCTCTTTAGAGTTCACCTTTTGAATCAATGCAGACTACCCATGTGTTGATTGACCATTTCACAATTTATTCTGCAGGCATATTTTAGCTGGGACTTGCCAAAAAGATTTCAACAATGCATATTTTGTTGTATACATTTGTGTGCATGAATGTTAAAAAGAAGAAAGAACTAGATTTCTTTCTAATGATGAGAAACTGAAATATGTGCAGACCCCTTTCACAATAACCTGGGAAACCAACAACAGAATAAATTTTAAAATTCAGTTAATGCCATTTTATTCTTCCTACTCAGGAAAACATAAAACCTAACACAGTGGAATCAATAAACCTATCTGCTGACATGTTAGAGCCCAGCATCCTGTTTGTTCCACTATCCCGGCTGTTAAAAGGGCAAAGCTAATGATCAACTGGCCCATTTTCTGGAACATGGGGTTCCATTATGATTACATATATCATTTCAATTGCTTTTCCAATTTAGCTGAAAACTGGCTTACACAATGGGGCCTTATGCAAATGGGAAGAATTTTGCATTTTAAAATGTCTAGAGAATTTAAGAGCTGAATCCAAACCAGCGACTAGCCATTAATGCAATGGGAGTTTCTCCTTCTTCTCTTCCAACGGAAACTGACTTAAATCCTGCTACAGAATGTTTTCTGAACCCCCCCCCCCCAGAAAACATTTTGGGAATGGTGGAGGTGGAATGCTATAGGCAAGGGATGATCAATTTTTTAAAAACTTTTAACTTTTGAGCAATCCAAATAAATGACCTTTTTCTTTTTGTATATCTCGGACTAAAGACATTGAGTGGTTCTACACTGACTATTAAAGCAGGCTTGATCTAGCATCCCAAATTCAGTTTGTTTATTTATCTATTTCAGAGATTTCTATGTCACCTTTCTCCAGAACGGGCCCAAGACAGCTCACATCATCTTTAAAATATAAATAGTAACATAAAGCCATTAACTAAAAACAGATAATAAAAGTTCCAAGAACCAGAGATCCCTTCCAGATAATTAGAAACATTGGAGGTAAATTTCAGGCAAAAACCCTATACAAAAGATCTGTATAGGACGGATAATAATATTGAGGATAGTTTTGACAGTGTTGTGAGTGAATTCGAATCAGACATCCTGAGGAGTGAAGCTGAATGGGCCTTAAGAAGCATTGCTAACAACAAGGCAGCAGGAGATGACGGGATCCCAGCTGAACTGTTCAAAAACTTGTATGCAGAACACATCATGCAATGTGCGAGGCTTGATGAATGCAAGGCTGGGGTTAAAATTGCTGGAAGAAACATTAACAACCTTAGATATGCAGACGATACAACTTTGATGGCCGAAAACAAGGAGGAGCTGAGGAACCTTCTAATCAAGGTGAAAGAAGACAGCGCAAAAGCTGGGTTGCAGTTAAACATAAAAAAACCCAAGATTATGGCAACTGGTTTAATTTATAACTGGCAAATAGAGGGCGAAAACGTGGAGGCCATGACAGCCTTTGTATTTCTAGGTGCAAAGATTACTGCAGACGCAGACTGCAGCCAGAAAATCAGAAAACGCTTACTTCTTGGGAGGAGAGCAATGTCCAATCTTGATAAAATAGTGAAGAGTAGAGGCATCACATTGGCAACAAAGATCCGCATAGTCAAAGCAATAGTATTCCCTCGTAGTCACCTACGGACCATAGGGAAGGCTGAGCCAAGGGAGATAGATGCTTTTGAACTGTGGAGGAAAGTTCTGAGAGTGCCTTGGACCACGAGAAGATCCAACCAGTCCATACTTCAGGAAATAAAGCCCAACTGCTCATTGGAGGGAAAGATAGTAGAGGCAAAGTTAAAGTACTTTGACCACATCATGAGAAGAAAGCAAAGCTTAGAGAAGACAATTATGCTGTGGAAAATGGAAGGAAAAAGGAAGCTCTTTCAAGCCATAACACTCCCATCTACTTGATCCTTAAGACATACTGGCTGCCATGAGCCAATGTACGGTCTAAAAAGAGAAATCACCCTCTCACCCACGCAACTTCCATAGCAAGGCTGCTGCTAGAATGCTGATGATAAGGTTTTTGGATGTCATGTGGGGAGGGAAATGAATCAGGATTTGGGCTTTCACCTGTTAGCTTAGCCCAGGGGAAAGCCATATTATGGTGGCCTTCTCCAGGTTAAGCCAGATCAGCCCTCCAATTTATCTAAACACCAAATTCAAACTGAGCCCCTTTCACACAGCTGTATACAATCCACATGAACTGAATTATATGGCAGTGTGGACTCAGATAAACCAGTTCAAGCAGATATTGTGGATTATCTGCCAGTGTGGAAGGGCCCTGAGATTCAAGAACCCAGATCCTGAGTCTTCTTCTGTGGACATCCACTGGCTATAAATTTTCATTTTTTTTCACAGATTTTATGATTTTATAAATGGGTATATATGTACTTACTTGTGTGTTCTGTATGTGAAAGACCTATGGTCTAAGCATTAAATAAAATAGATAGATAGATAGATAGATAGATAGATAGATAGATAGATAGATAGATAGATGATATATAACTTTCACATATCAGGCTAAAATTCTTAGCTCCAGCAAAATGTGTTGATCCCCCCCCCCCCCCCCATTCCAAAAATATAGTTTTTAAAAAGTCATTGTTGACTTCTCAAGCTGGGCAATGGATTTTGCATTGCTTTTTCCTGGCACTATCCCCCTAGAATGGTGGTTCTCAACCTGTGGGTCCCCAGATGTTTTGGCTTTCATCTCCCAAAAATCCAAACAGCTGGTACACTGTTGTAAGTGAAAATACCTGGGGACCCAGAGATTGAGAACCACTGCCCTAAAATATCTAGTAACTAAGTCTGTTAAACTTTAACTAAGTGGTGTGATAGAGATAATAACAGTAAAGACAGCCAGAGCTTAGAATGTTAGGTTTGAAGATTGATTTGATTGTGCTGAATGTTGGAAATTGGAATAACAGTTTGTTGCCACAAACATTGATAAAGGAAATGTGTTGCATGGTTCTAATATTGTTACTTAATTCATTATTTAGACCATTGCAATTTTCAGGCTTTGAAATTTACAGAAATCAGAATGGACATTATCACTGTGGTTCCTAGAAGTATATCTTGTTATTGGCATCTTCAAAAATATTCTTTTTGTTGTTTTAAACTTGCATTGCCTTCTGTGGAGTTTTTGTCCTAGGTACACCACAATACAAAGAGTCTAAAGCCTCTTCCCCACCGCTGTATAAAATCCACATTGAACTGGATTATATGTCACTGTAGACTCAGATAATGCAATTCAAAGCAGATATTGTGGATTATCTGTCTTGATATTATGGGTTATATGGCTGTGTGGAAAGCCCTTATACATCTAGAAGCACTCAGTTTGGTCCAAAAGCATGTAAACCCACCTTGCAACCTGTTCAGTTCAGTTTTGTCACTGATCTGCATCTCTTTTCCCTTTGTTCTCCTTCCACCTTCGCCAACATGTATAATGATCACCAACCCCTCAAATATTATAATAGTAAGCCCTCCACATTGACTGAAGTTAGGGGCAGAGAATCTCCATGAAAGTGAAAAACTGCCCAATGGAGAGAGCAGTTTCATAGGAATTTTTAAGGTCCTCCAGCATGAATCTGTGGTCAACATATGCTGGATAACTGACCACTGAATCACACTGAAGGACCTAGAAATATATAGGGAGAACATTTTAATCAAATCCATGAATAATCAAACCTGCAGAAATCAAATCCACAAATGCGGAGGGCTGGCTGCATTTGTAGACAATTAATAAGGGCTGATGTAAAGTTGATTGAGGAGTGATGTCTTCATTTCAGATAGAGGATACTGATCTACTACAAGTACAGTAGGAAATGATAGCTTAGAAAGCTTAATCAGTAAATTAAGGCCAGAGAATTAGTTTCCTCTTAGTATATGCAGATCATTTTCCTACACAGTTGAACCATTAAGTCCTTTCTCATTCTGCACTCACAATTAAAAAGCACAATCTTAAATATCAGTAGCAGAGTACATATTTTGTTCTACACAACTGGGCATATTTCTGAATAAAGTTTTTTAGGGAGACAGGTAAAAATGGAAAAGTGAGGATGTATGAGATGTGCCTTTTGACTTTGAATTTCAAGCTTAAGTCTGTGCCTTGCCTTGAGAAAAATAACCTTTTCAACCTTTGACAAAAAAGTAGGTTCTTCCATTGGAAAAAAAAGCAAATGTTTGAGGAGTACTAAAATCAATTGGACTTAAGCAATTTGAAGGATCATGCTTTAAATATCTTCGAAGGTTGTGCTGTCCTTGTTGATTTTCTTGCATCATCATCATCACTATTATTATCTTGCTTTTATCTCGATTGAGATGCAAACTGGCAACTCCTTTTGCAATTATTCATTTGGTTGAGGAAAATTGAATTGTTGTCATTTTGACTTGACAGCTTCTGTTCTGCAGTACATAGCACCTTTTCTTGCCAAAATAACTGTTGTGTTTTCGTGTCATCAGTGATATTAACAGAAATCTGGGTTAGTTTGTTAAAATAGACATTTTATTTTAAAAATTGTGTTCTCTTTTTTTCCTCTTGTTTCATTTATAGTAAATTAATAAGAGGGCTGTGATATGGCAGCTGAAAAAGCCAATGCGATTCTAGGCTGCATCAATAGGAGTATAGTGCCTAAATTGAGGGAAATCATAGTCCCATTCTGTTCTGCTTTCATTCAACCACACTACAGTTCAAGGCACTACAGTTCAAGAAGGATATCGACAAGCTGGAACATGTCAAGAGAAGGGCAGTCAAAAGGATTTTGAAGTTAAGCCATATGAGGAACAGCTGAGAGAGCTGGGTAAGTTTAGTTTAGAGAAAAGAAGGCTGAGAGAGGACATTATACTATGTTTAGATATTTGAAAGAATGTCACCTTGAGGAGGGGGCAGGCCTGGTTTCTGCTACTCTGGAAACTTGAACACAGAGCAATTGATTCAAATTGCAGGAAAATAGATCCCATGTCAACATTAGGAAGAACTTCCTGATGGTAAGAACTGTTCAACAGTGGAATAATCTGCCTCAAATTGTGGTTGACACTCCCTCTCTGGAGATTTTTAAGCAGGGCCTGGATGGCCATATGTTAGGATACTTTGATTGTGTGGTTCTGCATGATGGGGGGGGGGGGGGGGTTGCACTGGATGGTCCTTATGGTATCTTCTAATTCTATGATTCTATATGGAGGAGAATTTCCCATGAGGGCAGAGATCAATTTGCTAGTCTGGCATCCAGTGATGGCAGAACACACGGAGACAGAGAAACACAAAAGTCATGAATGGAGAGACAACACTAATGGTCTCATTAGATAAAATTGAGTAGTGTTGCCACGCCTACATGCAGAGATCTAAGTATCTCCACCAGAAGGCAGTACAGCACCAGGGTCTTCCTTTTCTTGCTCCTCTCTCCTCCCTGTTTTCTTTCTTACACTGGCAATTTTATTCTGCTTATTTAAATGGCCACCATGTTCACCATGGAGGAAAAAACTCCAGGGAGGACAGAAAAGCTGAAGATATATTGCAAAGAGACATCAGTTTCACACATCATTCCTGGAAAGAAAAATAATAACATTACATTTAATAATTATGAGGAGAAATCATATTTTAATTTTGTTTTACATTTTTATATTAATGTTTTTATTTTCAATTTACATATTCATAAAAACAGTGAGACAAATCTATATAAATGTATATATGCATGAACCAATACAATACATCTATACAATATGTGTATTTGGTTATGCTCTCCCCTCCTCCCATTCCTCACATTTTAGTGACTTCCCATCCCTTGGATTGGAGACATTCATATCTGATTCTGTACTTTCTTCCTATTACATTGTTTTTCTATTCTTCTTTCTGGCCTAATATTTATTATGTACAAATTCCCTACACAGATTGTAACAGGTTAAATTGTGAAGCCTTCTATACAGAGACAGGATTATTAATTTTGTAAAGGAATCTTAAGCATGTAACATTAATATTACTGTCTCTGCTTACAATTTCTTTTGCATGTGCCCACACTTTGTGTTGGTAGTTCAGATCCAAATCTAGATGGGGAGGATCCTCTGCCAGGGATCAGTAAAGATGTTTCCCCTTTCATTTGGCCCTTTAAAAAATATTGGTATGTGCCTTCAGATCTATTATGATTCATGACCACCCTAGCGTAAGCTTTTTCTGACAAGATTTATTCAAAGAAGGTTTACCACTGTTTCACTCTTAGGCTTGATGAATGGTGTCAGCTAATCACAAAATGCGGGTTCAGAGTCCAGCACATTTCGCTACTCCCAATAGGCCAGATTCAAGACACAAACGGAGTCTGAAGGCAACAAACAGAAGTTTATTCAATCTGGCCTGAGAGGTTGTCACTACAGAGTCTGCACTCAAAAAGAACTGATATCAGGCTTACAGGGAAGTACAGATCATTTTATCCACTTTGACAGAAATTCAAAATACCTGCACCCTCCCCTGATTGGTTGAAAAGCTGTCCTAGCTTTGATTGGGCTCCTAATGGCTGGGGATTCCTCCTGATGTCACTGGCTGGAACAAGTCTCCCCTGTGGCGGAAAAAAAAGGAATAGCTGTGGTTGGTATATTCAAATCCAAGTCCATTTAAAGATCCCCCCCCCCCGTGAGGGGTGTGAGTTTAGGAATATGTTGATGTCAAATGCAAATAGTCCTATGATTGATTTAATGTCTAGTCCAGGTAAACACAAAGAGAGTCCAGAAATCACAAAAAGTGTGATTGTGATTCCTTAATTAAACAAAGGCTGGTTTCACCCACAGTGAGTCTGCTCCAACCCCATCAATGAAGCCAGGAAGTTTCCCAGCACACATAAGCAGATTGATGAATGGAGAAGAGATTTGTCAATGGAAGGGAGTCGTGATTTACATAAGCACAATAGTTATCCCATCAATGAGTGTCAGGCTCCAGTTTGCATGCATTAGCCAGTTAAGTCCGTTTCCTGCCCCATGGCATGAGATTAAGCAAGACAATTTTATATATTTGCAGTTACAATTACACTCTAAAGGTTTGATTTCATTTGATATAAGTTATACAATTTTATAAAAGTATATTTCATACATAAGAGGAAATATGGCTGGCCGAACTTTTCCTCCAGTGAGACAGAGCAGCATTTCGAAATTGGAGAAAAGGAGAAATAAAATAAATTCATATCCAATTCATCTGTGTTCATTTGTGTTTAACCAAGAGAATGGTTAATTTCTTGATAACAGGCTGAGAAAATGTCTTCACCTCCCAGAGTTTTAGCCCAACACTAAAACCATAATGCTTAAAATAAAGAAAAACACCAGAATTAAAATATTAAGAAACATTTTCTTTCTAACAAAATTGAAACTGATAAATCATATCTTTTAAAGGGGATTTTCTATTCTTTGTGGAACCAATTACTGTGTTCGCAAAGGTAGAAATGTGGTTGTTTGCATTAACTTTCGAAAGGAATGTTCCAGTCCCATGTAGCAAAGACAAAACAGAATATCTTTCTATCATGTCAGGCTACAGGTACAATCCATTTCCTAAAACATACTGAACATATAATAACATATAATGAGGAGGAATGGTATAATTAGCATTGCCCTCTCCAAAGAAAAAATGTCTTCATCTGCTGAGATTGCCATATTTTTACCATGGTAGCAATTCCTATTTCTTAATAATTAAAATATAAAAGTGATTGACAACTGGAAAATAGAGGGAGAAACCGTGGAGGCCGTGACAGACTTTGTATTTCTAGGTGCAAAGATTACTGCAGATGCAGACTGTAGCCAGGAAATCAGAAGACGCTTACTTCTTGGGAGGAGAGCAATGTCCAATCTCGATAAAATAGTAAAGAGTAGAGACATCAGAATGGCAACAAAGATCCGCCTAGTCAAAGCCATGGTATTCCCTGTAGCAACCTACGGATGTGAGAGCTGGACCTTAGGGAAGGCTGAGCGAAGGAAGATCGATGCTTTTGAGCTGTGGTGTTGGAGGAAAGTTCTGAGAGTGCCTTGGACTGCGAGAAGATCCAACCAGTCCATCCTCCAGGAAATAAAGCCCGACTGCTCACTGGAGGGAAAGATACTAGAGACAAAGTTGAAGTACTTTGGCCACATCATGAAGAGACAGGAAAGCCTAGAGAAGACAATTATGCTGGGGAAAGTGGAAGGCAAAAGGAAGAGGGGCCGACCAAGGGCAAGATGGATGGATGGCATCCTTGAAGTGACTGGACTGACTTTGAAGGAGCTGGGGGCGGTGACGGCTGACAGGGAGCTCTGGCGTGGGCTGGTCCATGAGGTCACGAAGAGTCGGAGACGACTGAACGAATGAACAACAAAATATAAAAGAAATGTCTCAGATATGGTTGAAAACAATTGCCATTGCGCATTGAACCAAAGGGCTACCTGTGTCAAAAACCCTCCATCCATCAGTCAAGTAGTTATCTAATTTAAAAAGTGGAATATGTGAAGAACACAACAAAGAAATAGTTTAGAGCAGGGGTTCTCAAACTAAGGCCCGTGGGCCGGAATATCATTTACTCAGCCCCTGATCTAAACTTTAGACTTAGGATCACCCTAAGTCTGAAACAACTTCAAGACACACAACAACAACAACAATCTGAGTTAACTTGACTATCTGATAAGCCAAAAGCAGGCCCACCATTCCCGTTGAAATACTGGTAAATTTATGTTGGTTAAAATTGTTCATCATTTTAAATACTGTATTTTTTGCAGTACAAATAATATATCTGCAGTGTGCATAGGAATTTGTCCATGTTTTTCCTCAAAATATAGTCCGTCCGTCGTCGTCCCCCCCCCCCCCCAACAGTCTGAGGGTCAGTGAACTGGCCCTCCACTTTAAAAGTTAGAGGACCCCTGGTTTAGAGAATTCAATATTATGTCTCCAGACACCACTGTGGATTTCAGTACAAGAAGTATTTCATAGAATTGAGAAAAATAATAATGATAATATATCGAAATCTATTGAAATGGGGAAATGACGAATCTAAATTCAAAAGAAGGAAATTGCTGATGGCAAAGGGTTGGAAATATGAACTGCTACCAGTACAGATGATTGCAAGAAAGATATAAAATGGATTTTAAATTATTAGGTTTTCAACAAGACAGAAGTGACTTTGAGTTACAATTATGGGCTAATGATGACTATTTAATTGGTAAAATATGTGCATTTTTATTGAAAATGGAAATGGAAAATCAAGTAATTAAAGACTAGGATTAAATGGGCATTGGGCACCATATTTTTGCTGTAGTATAGAACTGGAAAATTGGGAATAATGTGACAGAAGGGTCTAAAATTTACATTATCAAATGATTTTAAAGAGAATTTTTATAAAATAATGTTTTGATAGCATTTAATCTCCTCCCCCCCCCCCCCTCCAAATATCAAAAATTTATAAAGGGGAAAAATGAATAAATGTTAGAAATGTGAAGTTCATGGACGCTCTTATTACCATATGTGGTGGACCTGTAAAAATGTCCAAAAATTCTGGGAACAAATGCATGGGGTAATTCAAGAAATTCTTAAAACAAAACAACTTCAAGCCAGATTTTACATTACTAGGACGGTTGGAAGATCAAATAAAAATCCACTTTTAAAACTCATTTATGCATATGTTGGTAGTTTTAGCGTTATAGGTATAAATGTATGTTTGCTAAGTAATCTAAGTCTGTCTATGATTATGTATTCATTTTGTGTGTGTTTTTTATTGTCAAAAAAATTAATTATGGTAAAATATTGGGGAAAAAAGATTTCTCAGGTGGTTCAGAAATACAAGGGATCTAAGATATGAATAGAGTCATGTATGATATAAGGAGCAGGGCAGATCCCTGTGAATGAAGCATTGGAAAGTCTTATGAGTGAAGTCAAAGGGTTTCCTCCTCCTCTTCTTCTTCTGTTTCTTCTTCTCCCCCCCCCTTCTTCTTCTTCTTCTTCTTCTTCTTCTTCTGTGCCACACATTACAACCTATTTTTGCAATTACACCCTCCTTTCTTTGTAATGAAAAAGGGCGGCAAAGTCTTCATCCCCCATCCATATGTATACACCTATCTCATTGCCCTCTGTTGTGTTTTGTACATCAAATGTAGGCTACATCACACAGGTATATAATAGCCTCTTTTTTGTCTGAATACATACAACCTTCTTGGCCATACACATGATAAACTAGTATCAGAATCTGTTGCCATGTGGACAAATTATTAAAATCATTTGTGTTAATTAGCATTTTGTCTGGGTACATCCTCAATCGGTTTTCAGACAAAGATTTGGTTATCTATTGAGTGAAAATACTACAGGACTTCTCGACACTGGTGATTTTCAAATTGGTAGTAACTCAATATAATCTTTCTGAGACAGGAATTAATAGTTTAAAATTAAAACCACGTGGCTTTGCATAGGTCATATTATTAGCTCTGTGCTTTTTTATTATTGTATGTGTGAGAGTCTTTTTCTTGGCAACTCAAATGAGAGGCCAAATCTTTGAAGACCTAAAAAAAAGAGAGCCATGTTATCTGCTTAATTATATTACTTTTTAAAAAACACTTCAAAAATCACTAAAACATTTATAAGCACTTTAATTAAAAGTAGCCCAAATTGGTAAAATTTGGGGTGACATAAAATTTCTGTCTCAGTGGGCTAATTAATGTTTTAATACATTAAAAAGTAGCAGAAAAGTTCAAAAAGTCCCTGGTTACTCTATCTTCTTTTTTGAAATGTTAACATGTTCCTCTCTGTGGAATTCCTATACATTTGTGGGTGCCTATTCTCCCCACATGTATATTGTTCATTTAAGTCCCTTTAATAGAACATATTAACAGAGGCTTTGTCACTAGAATTTCCACTGAAACAATCTGGATTTAAGCACCAAGTAAATGCTTATTGCTGTTTCCCTAAATAACAAACTTACTAGGAAGCAATTCTCACTGAAATCAATAATATTGACTTCCAACTAAATATAGTTAGGTTGTCAGGCAATTTGTTCACTGGACTTAGCCAGACAGTGTTAGTAGTACACCAGCCATTCCAGAAGTGTCCCTGGAAGCCCTCTGAGAACATGATAGTCCTCATTATATACTGTAAGAATAGTGATTTAGTGGTTTCCGTCCTTGAATCTCTATATTACAATGCCCAGAATCCTTACTATTTACCATGCTAAATAGGCTTCTGAACACTGAAATCCAACATCTGAAGATCTAATGTTGGGAATCACATCTGTAGTTTATGTTCTATGTCAGTGTTTCTCAACCTAAGGGTCGGGATCCCTGGTGGGGTCACAAAGGGGGTGTTAGAGGGGTTGCCAAAGACCATCAGAAAAGACAGTATTTTCTGTTGGTCCTGGGGGTTTTGTGTGGGAAGTTTGTCCCAATTCTATCATTGGTGGGGTTTAGAATGCTCCTTGATTGTAGATGAACTATAAATCCCAGTGACTACAACTCCCAAATATCAAGATCTATTTTCCCCAAACTCTACCAGTGTGCACATTTGGGCATATTGAGTATTTGTGCCAAGTTTGGTCCAGATCCATCATTGTCTGAGTCCAC